TTTTACATTTTTATATTTTTTATTTTGATTGATTTTAATCGATTTTAATGTATTTTAATTTTATTTTTTAATAAGGACCAGTGAGAAGCAACAGTATTGATGCGAGTTTTGATCGTAAACTACTTTATTTCTCCTACGCGTTTCGTCTAACTCTTTAGACTTCTTCAGGGAGTTATAATCTATGTAAATGCGACCCGTGTTTATTCGCTAATTTTCCCTAAACTACGTGTATAGGAAATAGGAAATTAGATTACACAGGCCTACCCAATGGTTAACATAGTAAAAATAGTTAACAAATAAAGATAAATATATTTCTGGGGTGCAGTTATAGCTATAACTAAGCCCCCGAAATATTCGAATGACTTTGTGTTGCCAGCAAAAAATGATGGGCAATAGGGGCTATAGGAGATAGGTCATTTGAAGACTTGAGAATAGTTGAAATGGTTGGTGTTTTGTCTTGTTATCGTCGTCAAGAACACGGAGGTTAGAGTTGAGATRATCCCGCAGTGTTGTTCGTAGTTGACGAAACCATTTTAAAGGCCTCGTTTATTCATGATTGTTTAGTTGTATACCCATGATTCCTTTGAATGACCTAACGCCTATACGCCTATACTAGGCTCCTTTGGCACCGACAACCTTTTTGGAAATATATGTGTCAGCGGCAATGTCTATTACTGAGAAGCGCTTCAGAGGTTTAGTATAATCACTTGCTTGCCTTGTACTGTTATCGAGCACTCACGGTTAGTGACACGACTCTGGAGTCGAGAGTGGTGTTGTTGCAGTTATATTGAAGGACAGAAATGGATTTTTTTTCCAAATGAAAGGCATACTCAGCTAGAACTGCTTGTAAAATGTATTGAACAACAAAGAAACTTTTAGAATAATATGTTCCCTAAAGCAATCCCAAGATGCACTGTGGTGCCAACTCGACCCAGTTTTTCCCTTAACCTCGGAATATATGGTTGTTAGATTACAGACTGATTTACTCGAGCTCACTGTGTGTGGAAGTGGCATTGCTATGCATTATGGGGCTGTAGGAGACGAAATAGACGCCATCTTGGAAATGTCCTCTTAAACCGCCCCACAATGCACTGCAATACCAACTCCACCCAGTTTATTTCTCAATCTCTGAACGACATAAAAAACTGGTTTCTATTTACGTCACATGTTTGCTTTAGGGATGAACATGAGAGTGGTTTCATCTTCTTATCTAAACAGGAACCTTTTAGAGATTGTTTTCCAAACAACTTATGGATATCGCTACCTCTCAATTACGCGCGCGAAATCGGACAATTTTCTGTCGCTACGAAGTATGTTTTCGGTGGACGTCAATCAAGGCGTTTCCATGACACTCCATAGGCACGTACGCTTGAAAGCCTTGTGTTTTCCGACAACGTCGAGGAAACACTGTGATTGACGTCCACTAATTGCAAAACCTCATTTTGTAGTGACAAAAAAAGTACGATTTCGCGCGCGCCATTTTAAATGACAAACTAAGGTAAACAACGGAAAAAAAGAATAGTATTCCTTCGGTGGTTCTTTAGATATATGATATCTCTAATAGTCGGTCTTTCATGCTGAGCATTTAGCACGGCAATTATAAATAAAGGAGTAGATTTATTTATCTTAATAATGATTACCCATAGATAACATAAAGGAAAAGTTGACATTTTGAATATCGAAAAGGATGGTAAACACGTTCTTAATTTTAAATTTCATATCAAACTTGGCATCATTTTGAATATTAATCCTTTATGCTTATTTAATAATTGTTTTCGTGCAAGATACGCAAGGTATTTGTCTTTGACCGTTAATTTTTAGGTCTCCACGATGAGCAAAGCACCTGTGAAAGGCTACAAGATTTAATTTGAGACATTTTGTGTGTTTTATCATCCAATATTCTGTTTTATCATCCAATATTCTGTTTTACAGTTCCGTTCAATAACCATGAATAACAATTGCTACTCGAGGTTAGCGGAGTTGCCTTGCATAACAAAGTATAGTAAGTAATTTAAAAGAGATTTCGTGATGTTATTCAGAGAAACGCTCTGCTTTTTATATTGAATATCGCCTGGGATATTATGATATGTAAGGTTATTTCGTGGTTTTTTTTTGTTGTTGTTGTTGTGTTTTGTTTTGTTTTGTTTTGTTTTTTTTTTGTTTTGTTTTTTTTTGTCAATCATCAATTGGTCTATTATCTTTAAATATAAAACACGCGGAATACATCAAATACTAGTATTTTACCGCCGTACATACACTTATCTGACTCTAGATCAGCCCAGAGGTTGTTTCATTGAGGGTTTGATCTGTAAGTTAGCTATGCCCTGACTTAGATCAGCCCAGGAGTTGTTTCAGGGCTCAATTTGTGAGTTAGCCATGCCCTGACTTAGATCAGCCCAGAGGTTGATTCAGGGTTTGATCTGTAAGTTAGCTATGCCCTGACTTAGATCAGCCCAGGAGTTGTTTCAGGGCTCAATTTTTGAGTTAGCCATGCTCTGATTTATATCAACCTAGAGGGGTGTTTCAGGATTTGATCGCGGATGCTCAGAACTCGACAAAGGTTGAAATTTTTGCTTATCATTGGATTTTGTACCCTGCCAAACGACATGCTAGTCAACTTGACCAATAGCAGACGCTCTGGTTCTCCAATCTATTGATATAGTGTTGACGACTACACGAGAGAAAACGGAAAAGCGCTCGGCAGCTGTCATGCTTAGCAGGTGAAAAAAGTCTCCAGAAGAGGAACAAGTTAAAAACCTACTACAAAAGAACAGAGATTATTTAACCAGTCGAGCAGACACAATGGCTACCTATTTTGGTTCCATACTATGCAAGATTTTTGCGCTTTGCTTTGCGTTGAGATTCGTTTCCTCTTGTAGAGAAGTGTTTCTCACAGTTCCGTTAGTGGATGTTAGAGACTGCTTGTCAAATTGCGAGAGAGATTCACGATGTTCGACATATTATTTCAAGGTAGGATGGTTTATTATTAACGTTTTAGGAATTGTCGTAGCATAAAAACAATATTTTTTCAACATCACTCTCCGTACAGGGCTCTTCCATGAGGCTCGCTCACCACACGCACGACCACTGTTTGTATGAACACACAACACTCAACCAACACGCTGATTTTTACCAACTGAGGGAAGAATACTAATAAAGATCTGGAGGAAAATCCTCGTGGCAAGGGAGAACCTGTTATCATTCTGTTACCAATCACCATTCCTTAATTCGCTAAAGTGACTCAAAACAATGTCTGCAAGTCGGGTTTTTGGCCTGACTTAATGATATACAGTAGATCTATGAACACATTAAATCCAACCGACTTGGGTTTTTTTTTTCTTGGTAACTTGACTAAAGCGAATTCTTCACACACAGCACAACTTGGATAAACATTTTCAGTTCAACAAGTGAACAATAATGACAGTTTTCTGCCAACAAGCCAGCTTTTGTTGCTTTTATCATGATAGGAAAAATATGTTGACGGTTTAATTTCATTTATTGCCATCATGGGAAGTACAGGGTCGATCCCCGGTCTCGTCATCCGATTTGAGTAGAGTTGCTTGTTGGTCCTCATCCGTGGGTTTTCCTCCAGACATGTGTCCGTATTTCTTCCATTCACAACATAATATATACCTCTTATATATTTTATCGATCGTGCTGTTTAGGGTTCAGCTTCTGGAAGAAGCACATGCGTTTTAAGTGAGTTCGGTTTACAAACCAAACATGGCGGTTATCAAGGACTGGCAAGAGTATTGACCAGACTACGAGATGATGGGCCCTGGGATGAACAGATAGCACAACAAATACGACCTGCTTTGAAGGTAGATGAAGAATACCGTGGTAGTGATGGCAATGATGATGATTTATTTCTTTCATTTTGTGTCAGCTAGGGTACTGGGATCAGTTTAGTGAATTAGAAGAATTCATTATTATTATTATTATTTCTATTCTTCTTCTTCTTCTTCTTCTTCTTCTTCTTCTTCTTCTTCTTCTTCTT